TGAACAGTTTATATTACAAAAATAATTTTCTTCCTTACATTATTTCACTTCAAGCACTTACAAATTTTTCTACAGCAAATCTACCAAAGAAAAATTATTTACTGAAATAAGTCCAGTTTGTAGTTTGTTTCACATTTCACAAGAAATATAAGTATTTGCGTTATTATACATCTGTCTGAAATCCAGAATCTCACATTGAATTCCTTATAGAATGAATAAAGAGTGTTGAAAATTTTTGAGTTATTTTATAATGAATTATTATGAAGTTACCATACTTCCTCAGTAAGCATGTTTCTCTACAAAACATGTCCCTTACATCCAGATGAATATTGGACTAACTTTGACTTTTGATAGGGGTATGCTGCCTCCATCTAAATAAGGGATTAGAACCCATGTATTTGTGAATCTGTAGAATGGTTAATGTTTACAAAATATTATAAATGTGCTAGACATCAGAGGTAAAACAGCACCATAGAATCCAGGCAAGGGGTTTGTTGTGACAAAGGGTCACATGTGTATCAATGAGGAATCAAAGGGCATTATGGGAGAAAGGGGGGATGATGTAGCTGAAGCAAGGGGGATGGGTGTAGAGGGAATATAAGTAGGAGGAGGATGAATGTTGGCAATTACTTTGAATGTAGAAGGAATGACAGCAGAGAGATTGGAGGATGGATGAGGTGTAGGCATCTTATCTTGGTTCATGATTAGCTAGTTTTGAATGTCTGAGAGTTTCTGAAATTTGGTTGAGTAGAGAGGACAAACATTTGAGGGGCAGAGGGAGAGGTTGATAGAGGTGAGGATGCAGTAGGAGAAAGTTGGGCAAGGAGGAAAATGGTAGGTTCCAGGGAAGTAGAGATTGGAGTGTATGTAATAATTACTATGTAATAGTAGTAGAGATTGGGGTGTTTGGATTTAGAATGGTAAAAGACTGACTGCGTGAAGGAGGGTGTAGAAATGGGATGAGAGAGATATACTGGGGTATTTTGATTTTTATCTTGAGTTTAAGTATCCATCAAGATTGTCCACAAGTACGTCACCCCTAACATAAACAGCTTCTACATCCACAGCCTCACTACCACCAAACTCTATTTTGTAGTTTTATTCCCTTAGATTTTTTCTATAATCATAAGCAATTAAGGGTTATGTTTTAACAGCTAATGCATTAAATATAGCATAACTAGTGTCACTGCTTTTGGCCGATGACCTATTCCCCTACTTAAATCATTCATCCTCAAGTGACTGCAAATCACTATAGGTGCTCATTTGCATCAGAGTAGTTTACTCTTTACACACATTCACACAGGAATTTCCACTATCTTGTTGTCTCATTCATACGTCTGTAATAGCTGATGTTTGTGATTGCTCTGTATGTTTGTGTCTGGTGGTCTTGCCACACAGGGCAACCCCTATAAAATACTTTATGGGAGCCACCACAATTGGCACATGTCCATCTTTGTGCAAAGGAGTTTCATCAATTATAATCAGGTTTGGTACAGAGGGTGCCAGGCTGTGAAGCGGCAGTCTGTGAAGGGTGGCCTAGATGCCAACAATTCTGATATTGACAAAGGGGAGGGTGACATGGTCAGACAGGGAGAGACTATCCACCAATATAAACATCATGGGGGAGATCATTCTACGTAAAGTAATCTTGGCAGTATTGGTGGAATAATTACGGCAGCTTCTAGGGGGAATGACGTATCACTGTACTAATACTGCATTTTAGTCCAAGAGGCAGGCAAGTAAGTCTTTTCCATAATCTTGACCAATTCTTGTCATAGACAGGGCAGGTTATTGGGAAGATGGAGACAATTCCAATACAAGTATTGAAGGAGAGATGAGGCTGGACAGGAATGGGTTTGCCAGTCAAGTCAGTTATGGTAGATAATGCTTTAGCTTGGGATTCGGATGTAATTGTGACAAGGCGGGAACTATCGGGGAGGCTGCTGAAGGAAACTTGCCAACTCATTTTTGGAGTCATTACTTACAGAGGAGAGTGTTGTCAGAGTAAGGGGCTATGGAGGAGAGCACGAAAAAAGGATCCCACTTGGCTGGGCTAAACAGAGTATTCAAAAGGTTTGTAGAAGTGGAGGTAGTAGAAGGGAAGAGGGAGTAGCATTGAGAGAGGTAGCACTGTGGAGAAGTGGAAAATAAGGGCGCTAAGTAATAATAAGGGAGGGGCTAGTAGATGAAGTAGGCTGTGGGAGTAGAGGAGGTGAAGTAGAAGATGGGGAGAGAGGAGGAATGTTTTCTAGAAGTTGAGTAATGACCTGGGTGGACGATTTGGAATGGACTGAGGTGATAGTACTCATTTAATTAAGGGAGGAGGGCAGGTAGTAATGGCAGCTTTCAGAGTCATGGTGAAAGGAAATGGTTAATGGTTAATGGTTATAAAGCAAAAATAAATGTGCTAGACATCTAAGGTCATATAGCACTATAGGAAAGTATATTAAAGGAGGGTTGAAGCGTGATAGTTGCTATGTGTCAACTATTTAAGAGTGATCTGGAAAGGTTAAGATAGGTAAAGGAGTTGTGTGAATAGGCTATGGTGGGTTTAGGTAAGGGAATTACATAAGTGATTTACGTGTGTATCCAGGAGGGAATGGATATAATAGAGGGAATGGAGGGAGGGAGAATGTACTTATAGTTGGAGTTGAGGGGTGTGTGTTATGTTGGGAGGGAGTAGGAGGGAGTTGTGTAGGGGGAATATGAGTAGGAGGAGGATGGGTGTCGGGAGGATGGATATCGGCAGTAGTTGGTGTTGATGGAAATGGGTTGTGTTGGGAGGGAGTAGGAGGAGGATTGATATCAGTAGTATCAGTAGTATGCGGAATTGATAGGGTTAGGATGGGTTGAGAGGGAGTAGGAGGGAGGGGTGTAGGGGGAATATGAGTAGGAGGGGGATGGATATCGGCAGTCACTTCAAGTGTGGAGGGAGCACGAGTCGTGGAATCTTGTGACTCAAGCATATAGTTTTAGATATCTTCCATAGTTTCTGCAGTGGAGTTGGTTGGAGAGTTTTGTGAGACAAAGGTTTTCTTATGAGGGGGGGAAGAGGAGGAGTAGGGGAAGAAGGGGGGGAACTATTAGTCTATCTGCTGCGGGTAGTGCAGGGAAGGAGAGGGGAAGGTGTTGGGGCTGTAGTTGATATTGGAACTGTAGTTGAGACTGGATTTAGAGAGGCAAAAGAATTTGACTGGGGGAGATAGAATGTAGAAGTGGAAGTGGGGAAGTAAGTAGGTATAGGGGAGGGTGTAGGAACATCTTGAGGTGGAAGGGGAGGGGCAGAGCGAATGACATTACAGGAGTAGGGAGTATAAGAGAAACCTTGTTGGCGTGCTTCCTGGCTGGCTTCACCTAGAGTGAGACCATTTTCGTATCTGAGAGCTGCTTCCTCAGACTCGAACTTGTAAGTGGGACAGCCTTTATAAAATACATTATGGGGGCCGCTGCAGTTAGCACATGTGCGTGTTTGTGCAGGGCAGTTTGATCTGTTATAACCGGATTGGGCACAGAGGGGGCATCGGTTTGTGGAGCGGCAGTGTTTGGCAGGATGTCCAAACCACCAACAATTTTGACATTGACGGGGAGAAGGTTGGTATGGTTGAACAGGGAAGGATTGTCCACCATTGTAGATACAAATGGGAAAGTCATGTGTACTGAAAGTAATTTTGGCAATGTCGGTGGGTTTCTTTTGATGACCTCTAGGAGGAATGGAGTAGCAATGTACTGATATCACGTCCTGGTCTTTGAGGGAGCTGAACAAGTCTTCTCCACAATCTGACCAATCTTTAGTATCGACTGGGCAGTTTGCTGGGAAGATAGAGACAGTTCCAGTGCAAGTATTAAGAGTTGGATGAGGTTCTGCAGGGATGGGGTTGCCAGAAAGATCAGTTAGTTTTGTTAATGCTATAGCTTCAGCTTCAGATCTGACTGTTACAAGACAGGGGCGATCGCGTCGGGTACAGAAAGGGACTCTGCCTACATGTTTTTGGAGACATTTTTGAAAGAAAAAAGTGTTGCCTGAGTAAGGAGCTGTAGGGGGAATCACGAAAAATCGGTCCCATTTAGCTGGGCTAAATAGAGTAAGATGAGATATTTGTATGGTTGGTGGTGGTAGAAGGATGGGGGCATGTGAAAGCGGGAGTGTTGTTGAGGGGGGTAGTATTATGGAGAGATGGAGAATAAGGCTGTAAGGTAGTAATAAGGGGGTTTGGGGTGTTTGATGAAGAAGGTTGTAGGGGTAGAGGTGATGAAGTTGAGGAAGTTGGGAGAGTAGGAATGTCTTCTGGAGATTGAGTCTCGGTATAGGTGGGTAATGCACTCGTAGGCATTGAGGAGTGGGTAGTAGTTTCAGTGTTCGGAATCGTAGTCAAAGGAGAGCCTGGGGTCGGAGAGCCGGTGGGTCTATTTGATGAAGGGGCAAGCCTCATTGCCCCTAATAAGGGTATTACATCTTCATTACTGGCCATGGGAAGCCTTGATTATGTAAGTGAAATAAACAGTCCACCCCCCAGTGCCCTGTACGGGGGTAAGGGCTAACCAACTAAATCAGGGGAGTACCGTGCCCATGGTTCCCGCAGGGTGTTCAGGACTAGCACAAGGTCAGCCTTTCATCCTTTCTGCATGGCTCTTACACCTTAGGAAGTAGATAGTAGAAGGGGTTGGAGAAGGGACAAAAACAAAAAGCTGGAGGGGGAAAAGACCATGCAAAATTAGTTGAGTCGAGGGCTGAGGCCCTAGGCAGGGGAGATCCCTGTACTGGGTCTCCGTCTCCATCTCCTAAGCCCCCCACGACAACAACGGGCAAGGGATTGGGGGGGGGGGGTCAAGGAACAGAAAGTAACAGCACATTTGGTAGATCAATAGAAATGGCCTGGAATAGTAAAGGAAATTATAATTATGATTTCCAGTATTAGGCTCTCAACATGATTTATTACTTGTTCACTTATGGACATCACAATCATGATTAAATAAATAGGAACAGAAAATGATAAACATGATCAACTGACACCAATTTTATTTAAACGACAATATAATCAAATACAGAAATTACATGAACATGCATACCAAGCAAAGGTCTTATGACAAGGACACCTGGTGCAACCAATACACCTTATCAGACAATCATGGTTAGTCAATGAGGACTGTTAGGTACTCGGGTTTATTGATATATAAAAAAGCTGTTTCCTTTGCAGATACCATACAACAGATGGAAGTATACCAACTGTAAAACAAACCAATCAAAAAGGTACATTATCCTCTGCTCCTTAACAGAAAAAGAAACAATAATACTTTACCATTACTTTGTAAATTTGTTTTTATTGCTTGCTTTTGACATTTATGTTAAAACTTTGACTGTATAATTTTGGTATATGATCTTCAAAATCTGTTTACATAAATTATTTATTATAAGATATGATTCTTTTTCTTGTGATAAAAAAAATGAATATGTATTCTAAACATATCAAATATAATATATATCCATCATTAATTTTCATATAGTATTGCAAATATTAACAAACAATGAGCAACCATTCATCCCTGCTACATAGTAGAAGTACTTCACAATAAAATCAAATTCTTTCTGAAATTTCATAGCTTCTGAAAGAATAGCCGATATGATTAGCAGTTTAAGGATCAGTCAAAATTGCTTTGGTAGTAGTGTCAAAGTAATTATTATGAGTGTGGAATTAAATTTATCTATTTTGGATAATGAGGAAGGAAAGGCTTGGGGAAAAATACACTATACACTAAGAATCCTTGTTTTTAGTTAAGTTTTCTTATGTGTATATTGGAAATGAAAAATATCTAAATGTAGGAGATGGAAATATCTTCCCACTTTTTGCAAATAAAAGTTATGAATATTCTAAAAAAATTTACTGAAAATTCAGTAGATTTTGGAATATAAGCAACATAAGGTAAAACATTATACCTGCAAAATAATATACCAGGAAAAGGTAATTGCATTTTTTACTATTTGAATTAAATCAAACACTTATTTAACTGTAATAAAATTACAAACTAAGAAGCACATTAAGTGATGTATTTTATAAGTAAAATATATAAGAAAGATGAAGCAGAGCATGGAATATATGTATTTATCCAAGTTAGTTAAAGTTGAAATGAAAATGAAAGGGACAGCTCTTTCTAAATATCTCATCATCAAACAACTTTTCATTTCAATTCTAAAGTACAATAAAAGAAAAAAAATCAAAATTACTTTAGTATTTTACATTTGCAAGTAAATCTTTACACGGCTCAGCAAACAAATGTATCTATACTGATGTGATCATACTAATGTTCATATATTTAGTGATTCATGAAAACAACACTGACTTTACTTGGTTACTGACTCAGAGTGAGATCAATATAAACCATCTCATTGTAAAGAGATTTACAATATTAGGATTAGGCATGTTATCCCAATCAAATGCTGTGTGAAAACTTTATGAATCTGAGATATATCATTATTTACCTAGTATATAATCATATCAGATAACCCTTCCTGTAAAACTAACAAACAGAGACTGATACACATTCACTCATACATGCATGACACACATGTACATGCACACATGCAGAAACTCACACATACTCTCACTCATACACAATTACACTCTCATTCACTTAGAAATTCTCGCTCTTGCTCTTATACACTTTCCATTAACACTCACTCTCACAGCAACACTCTTTCCATTCACTCTCTCCACTCTCCAGGATACCCAAAACATGGGAGAAATTTGAAGGAAAAGGAAGGGGAGAAAGGAAATTAATACAACAAATAGGAAAAAAAGGGAAAGTAAGACTGGCAAACTAGGATAGGAGTTGACTTTTCTATTCCACATTATATATTGTCATTCTAAAACAAAATCTTTAAAATGCTAAACATATCTTACACCATATTCCTCTACTTTGTCTTGAGCATAAAATCACCCATATGCTGCAGCACGGTACAAGGATATTTGAGGAGGAAAAAAATCCTGCAAGGATACATTGTGACACAAGGATAATATGAAGGTTCACTTTCCCATTACAGTTAGTAATAGCAAAAATCAATTACATTTATTTACAAAGTGCAATTGTCAGATGCTATTCTTATCAAACTTTATTTTAAATACATCTTATACTAGAAAAATAATAAACTCATACATAAACATAAATGAGATCACTTATTATTAATACAAATGATCCCTGGAGTAAATAGTACTGCAAACAAATTACAGCTGCAGCTGAGCAAGTAGGGATGAGCCCAATTCCCCTATCACCAAGGATACGCTGGGAAGAGGCGTGCTTCCTCACTGCGACATGGGAACTGGACCCTGGCCATAGCTCAGTCTTAATTCTAAGTGCAAAATTGAGGTAAAATTGCATAAATCCTTAAAAAAAATCCTTGCAATATTAAATATAAAGAAAAAAGAAAAAAACCCTATCTATTTCTAGAGTGTCTTATGATAGTGTGCTCAAAGGCTGCATGTTCCTCAATGTTGCACCCCTACAATAACTACTGGGTAAGCAGAAGCAAACTTGATTTAAAACTCCCAAATTTTAAGAGTTACTTATATAAACTAAATTGACAAGTACCACTGCAGGAGTGGATCACATGAACAAGATGACAACTAGCTGATAATGTCTCCCCAACTGTAAGCTGGGAGGCACTTTCTGCTAGCTCTTATAGCCTGCAATGGTACAAAAAGTTTACTTCCCAAACACCACTTACCCTACCAAAGCCCTGTTGGGATCATATTCATATACAACCTTGGACCAATATTTGACTAGGAACAAATCATAACCAAGGATCCAAGAGTGTCCACAGACAGAATCTATTGATCATATTATAGCTATAAAATGTAAACAATCAAGCAATTTTACATATGTAGGTATGAATCTAGCATGCATGCTCAAGCCAATTCTCTTCTCTTTCTAAAGCCCTGAATGTTGCATTCTATACCAATCCATACATGGCACATTTACACTATATCATATGATATAGTCTTTTCTGTAAATGAAATATTTAAAATTCTGAATAAAACTTGAAAAATATTAAATTACTTCTGTAATCATTACAACAAACTTGTACTTGTGTCTTGAAAACTTAATAGGCTCTTTTCTGATTATTTTACAGAGGATTAATAACCACTAACAACCTGAAGCTCCATGAATGGTACCAAATAAATTGACAGAAGCAGTAAATGATTAGTATTGGTCAGCATACAAATGCCAACCAGGATCTCAAAAACAAATCTATATAAAATATAATAAAAATAAACAAATAAATAAAATCAATAATAATAGTTCCTTGCATTAACGTTTTTTCTTCAGTAATACAACTTTACTTACTGGCTATAATATAAAAAATATGCAAAGATATCCAGTGTAAAATGAAATTGCATTTATCAACATGCCATTTGTGAGACTATACAAACTCTATACTTACATAGAGAATCAGCAGATGTAACTAACTAAATATAACAAGTTACGTACAACTGCATTTCTCAATGTCAAAATACCAGCACTTGCATTAAGCAACATATGAATAAACATTAAATCATTATCTACTAAACAATACATAGCTGAGCAAACTGTATTTCTGTATGTGTACCGAGATCATGAAAAGCCATAGCAGTCATCCGAATATCCAGCAAGATAACCATAAATATTCTCAGAGCAAATTTGCATCACCACAAAATTAGGAACATTGTGACACTACTCTAAGTAAGTGAGAACCAATCATATATATACTGCTAATTCATGTACTAATAAAATACCCTTGAAGCATGAAATGAGAGACATTTGTCTGTGTAGAGAATCCACCAGTTTCTGCTGGGTGGTAGAGAGAGAGAGAGAAAAAATCCAATGAACAATAAAATATCTTATCCCTGTATGATTTACTGTAGAAGACAGGAAGAACAAAACAAAATATTACTATTCTAATTCAAATTAATTCAGAGTTTAGGAATTTATTTCATATCAATTTCCATTAATGAAAACAAAAAATTTGTCCTCTAATCTCAAAATGGAACATGCATAATAAAATATATCTCATAATATGATGTTAATTAATAAACTGACATTTTTAATGTAAATTATACCAATAACAAGAGACTTTTGGTCAAAATCCTAGAGAACATTTTAGTTCAAGCTGAAATGCATTTCATACATACAGAAAGGAGCAACTAGTAAATAGGGAAGCATAAACCCAAGCACTTTCCGATATACAGTACCTAAATGCTCTTGAGATCCTTACTAATTCCAAAACTTAATCCTCTTCACTGTATATACTTCAATAAAAATGTCAAATCAAGCTTCACATATCCATGAAGAGAATCTAAATATGTATATGTAAACAAATACATTAACATTCTGGAGCTGTATATGTAAACAAATACATTAACATTCTGGAGCTGCATTCTTATAAATATCCACAAATCTATGTACTTGCATATCCGCACTCTTTTAAAAAATAATGAAAAAATTGGTGTTTCAATTACAGTTCATACTTTCACCATAGATATTTGGGCTACCATGTAAGTAGTTCAGACACATCCTGTTAATGCTACAAGTTCTCATGATTCAATTCAGCCAAAGCCTATGGAGCTTTCAATAGAAAGAACAATAAGATCTGTCATGAACCATAAGAGTTTACAAAGGAGACCAATTATAACCTGAAGTGATATAAAGCATCTTTAAAAAGCTTTTTGGGGCAACTTTTACATTTATATGTATGAAGAAACAAAATAAAGTTAAAATAAAAATAAGAAATAATAACACAAACACAAATGAGGTACATCTAGCAATAAAATCTGAACCAATGCATAAAAAAGGTCTATAAATACAAAATAAAACATAGAAAGCATTTCCAAGTTGTGAGCCAGCACGCAGTTTTAGTAATAAATTATACAAAAATTTACAATGACTCCAATAATCTACACAATAATATAAATCTTAACATTTGAACTAAATGTCAGGTAAGGAATCACAGCATTATGGTGGAACAGTTCAAGGACTGGGTCACTGGGAGATGGCACTTCTTAACACAGAACCAAAGTCAACAATGCAGTCATACAAGTATAGTGAGAGGGAAAAAATAACAACAATATTCATCTTGAAAAGTGACCAGAAAACTGTGACAAGTCTAAAAAAAACTTACAACCACAAAGCCTATGACAACTTATAAGTATGTGTTTGCCTTCTTCAAATGACCCAAAACTGTATGATCTAAAGAAGAGATGAATAACTGAGAGTAAGTCTGCATTGCACTAAGGAACCTGGAAAGAATATTGTAATGTACACCATTCATATGTTGGAACTTTAATTTGTGTGGTTACTAGTTTATAAGTTCCTGGCTCACAGCACAGATCTCTCTGAGCCCCATAACCTACTGGTCATAACAAAGGCATGAAGCAGCCTGCACAATTGCACTTGAATCTTTTGCAGGATTACTCTGCAATGTTTTCTGTTTTATGCACATTTGTACTCTCAATACCTATAATAAAAGTGACTGATTATAAATGTAGGCATAAAAATTTGTCTACAGTAATTAACTGAACGGTAAATGTTTTTTCCCTAAAATTTGATAAAAAGGGGAAAAGTAAAGTTACACATAATGGCTATAAAAATGGCAAGGTATTAACTTGCTGATACCCATTACCTTTCCCGGAAGCAAATTTGTCCACTCTTTTCATTGCCAATGAAATTTTCTTTCATGATAAAAGAAAGGTTAGTTATATTCTTCCCATTAATAAAACCTACAAAAACCCAAGTTGTAAATGCTGCATGTACAAATTTCAGATCTTTCTTAATCCTTATTCTTTTTTTTATCATTTTTTATTTTTTTTTATTACATTACACTTATAAAAAATTACTGTATCAGATATTTCCCTTACAAAGAGCATCCCAATCAGATACCCTGATTAGCCATCATTTGTAACTTTTTCAAGTGTCTCAGAGCCCTCTTTGCAGCTGTTGATTTTGCAATACGATAATTCCTCCCAACACCTGAAAATGATCCTTTTCCAAATATTTCAACTGACACTCTAACCTTCCCATCTACAAGACGTTCAGGCTTTCCGAATTTGGCCGTTTCAGGTTCCATTTCTAACAACTCCCTAATGGGTGACTTTGGTACCACTCCACTGAACTGTTCTATCTCCCGACACATCATAGTATAGTACACAGACCACACTGCATCCAAGGAGCTACCAGAGTCAAGAAAGATTGCACCTGCTACACTCTCAAATACATCACCAAGAGCTTTAGGAACTTCAATGTCTTCTGCTGCCTCACATTCATCTTCTTCCATGAAGTAGTACTATGATATGGAAATAAATAAGTAGAAACATTATTTATCATTACAAATAGATCAATAAAAATATGCAATGTTGATATATTCAAGTATAGTCCCAAAGACAATGATATGGAAAAACATGAAAAAATATTGGGTGTATGAATTAATTACATTTCTCACGTTTTCTCATATCACTATCTTGATGTACCACAGCAACAATGAAAACAGAAAATACCCTTGTTGATTCTTACCTCCTCATTGATTTTATGGCCATTTTCCTCTTGCATCTTTACAAAGTCCCTTATGACTCGATCTAAACCAGGTGAGAAATGGCGGAAGTATTTATGGTAGTCATATTTGACAGCCAGGGATGCAAATATTGTATTATTGACTAATGCTGACCGAAGGTCAGTTAGTGCACCTGGTGAATGCTGCCTCTTGTCCTCATACAAATGACGAGTTATCAGGTAATCTGAAAATACAGATCAAATTTTGAATAAGAGAAAGTATATCAAATTTACTGTGCTTCAATGAGTTTCTTTCAATTCAAGAGAGAAAAAAGGTGGGGGTGAGTAACAAAGAGAAGAAAAGGAATGGTGGGAAAGAAAGAAAAAAAGAAGATAAAAACCTATAGAATGGCAAACAAGAAACAGCAGAGTGAAAATAAAATTAAATCTATGAAAAGGGTTAAAAGGGTTATAGGAAAAACTAGACAAAAAAATCTATAAAAAAAAAAAAATTATAAATGAGATAATAGGTATGAGCTTGTGTATGCAGTACTGTTTAAGGAATAATTGAGAAAAAATCATTTACATACATTTTTCTATCTTGCATACAATTAAATAGTAATTGTTCAGTTGAATGCACTTACCAAGAACAGCATCTCCTAGGAATTCAAGTCTCTGATAGCAGTCAGTCAACCGATTTTTGTAGTACGAGGCATGTGTGAAGGCTTGCAACAAGTATGAACGATCACGGAATGTGTACCCAATCTTCTCTTCAAACACTTGGTATCCACTAAGAAGCAAATCTAGTTCCTTTCTAGTGTCAGTAAGAGGGCAATGATATAGTGGAGACTGAGGAGATTCTAAGTGTCCATATGTAATAAGCTCACAAGCTTCTGGAGAACTTTCTAGTGTACATGGCAGAACTTTGATTCCAAGCCAAGACATAAACAGTAAAGCACCCCGAGGCCCACATGTGGTCAAGTAAGCACCAATCAAGGCTTCTACGCAATCAGCAATACTCTTGTCTGGGATGCTGTGCTGTGTGAGCAAATTGTATGGGATAAATATTGGCAGATCATGTGGATTTTGTGTAGCCATGAGTTCACTAGTTGCCTGCTCACTCTTACTGCGCTTGATCTGCTCTGAACGCTCCTGAACTAGCCGTCTAATTTCATCACTTGCCAAGTCATGAAGTCCAGGTAAGTCTGCCATATTCCAATGACCTGCAGGTACCCCAGAGTCAATCAAAGCTTCCTCTAATTCTCTTGGAACAAAGTATCCTGGTGGCAGCCAGTTATCATGGGGCTCAAATTTTGTTGCTACCATACACTCTCCAAGCCCTTTCCGTTTGCCTAACCGATAAAGATTAAGGTTACTGACTTGCTTTGAACGTAGGTAACTAAGCTTCCCTTCATGACGTTGTGGATAAGTACAAGAGAAAAGTTGTGATGGCATATTTCAGAAAAGAATCCCCTATGGTTTCAAGCCTCTCTAAATTGACTCCATCATTAGCATTAGACATTGTGAGTGCCTGGAGTATGACACTTGGTGATGGTCCAGGATGGTTAAGAAGATCAGGTTGGAAATCAAAACTGAATGACATTTCCTCACAAATGCTGTTCCATGAAGAACACTGTACCTCAGAGTCTGGCCTTTTAAGTGCAAGAGTTTCATCTCTGTTCACAGTTCTAATGATGATTGAGGTAGATTGTTGAGCATTATCACAGCCTTTTGAAGATAATTGTTCACAGCCTTCAGTAGTAGAACTTTCAGTACGATGAGAGACCTTCTCTGGGGATGATTTGCTTTCATTCTGTAGTTTCCTGTGAGCCTTTTCAATTAGTAGTGATTCACTTTCTGCCAGATAGCAGGAACTTTCCTTTATAATCTTCTGTTTATCCTCTAAAAATGACTGAAATTCTTTTTCCTTTTCATTTCGCACCTCTTCATCTTCATCTGGCCAATTCAAGTCAATCTCTTCATCTGATGACCCTTCATCAGCTGCCATACTAGACCGCCTCTTGGTCCCCTCCTCATCCCACAATTTTTCTGTCTGACTTTTATCATCATCATCCATGTCAGATGAAACATCAGACTCACAGCCTTCAAGATCATCTGCCAGACCCTGGAAATCTCCATAACCACCATAAGCATCATAGGAACCATATCCTCCATACCCACCATTATAACCTGAACTACCAAACATGTCCCACCCATCACTCTCAAAATTGGATGGTGAACCCACTCTGAACATCCCTCCTTTGCTGTCTTTGTTGCAGCTGCTCTTGGTCCGTCGTTCAGTAATTCCAGTGCCCCAGTCAGCCCCCAATTCACCCTCTATATCATCATCAGCACCTGAAAATCCATTCAGTAAAGTCAGGTTGTCAGGCAGGGCAACATTGGGATCAAATGTATCAATCTCAAATTCATCTGGCCCATTCATTGTGTCCATATCAAATGGAGGTGTGGGAGGATCAACTGCCATATCATTTGACCATGTGCCAATTTCCATGTCATTTCCCTTCTTGGGAGCCTTCTTTTTTGCTGCAAGAGTTGGAGATTCACATTCTGGGTTCTCAGCTTTGGAAGCTTTCTGCTTGCTATTGGTGGCTTCTGTAGCAATGTTTGATTTGTCATCTTGCTCTTGGTTTTCCTGGTTTTTCCTGAGAACATCAGCTAAACTCCAACCAAAGTCCAAAGGTGGCCATGAAAAATCTGAAGGAAAAAGAAAAGTCAATGACAGATTTTATTCATGCTGATCTCTAACATCCTAATGCTCAGCAAACTCCCCCCCCAAAAAAAAAAAAAAAAAAAACTGATACTTGATTAAAAAAACAAACATAATAGAATTGTTGTTATTACCATCAGTAAACCATCATTAAATTCAAATTTATAGTCAGTCATAAGATTAACCCTTCCATGACTGGTCCTGTTTATCAATGCACATTCCATCAATTAATATTTTACAATTCCCAGGCATGTTTAATTCTTCCATTATAATGGCTGTTTGACCACCAAATTTGTTAGCCCCAGCTGATGCTACTATTCACCCATCCAAACTACATTCCTTTCTAAAAATTAGGATATTCATCAATTCCCAGGCATGTTTAATTCTTCCATTATAATGGCTGTTTGACCACCAAATTTGTTAGCCCCAGCTGATACTACTATTCACCCATCCAAACTACATTCCTTTCTAAAAAGGTACTACTATTCACCCATCCAAACTACATTCCTTTCTAAAAATTAGGATATTCATCAATTCCCAGGCATGTTTAATTCTTCCATTATAATGGCTGTTTGACCACCAAATTTGTTAGCCCCAGCTGATACTACTATTCACCCATCCAAACTACATTCCTTTCTAAAAATTAGGATATTCATCAAGTTGTTATATGGCTTTGGTTAAAACATAGCCCTTATAGAGCACAACATCATTACATTCCTGAAACTGTACTTTAAATCTAATAGAAAATATATTAAGAAAAGCATACAAAGCAATTACAAACACTACTACACTCCTACTGTTTTCGTTTCTCAAGATGGACAATTTTGGTGCTGTCAATTAAATCTGACCTTATCAGGCCAACTGTGTCTTTAGGTACTCTACTATGTAATGATGGTAAATTTATATAAATAGCATAACCTTTATGTAAGACATCAACTTTAACATTTTATAAAAATATATTCACAAGACAGAAAGTATAGTGAAACTGTATGACACCAATCACACCAATGTTGATGCTGATGAAAATAAACAATAAAATAAAAATTATGCATCCATCATGACTAGATGAAATATGCTCATCTGTGAATGCTGTGCCATCACAACCTACCCATCTTGGAAGGCTTAACATTTATCAAAAAAAAAAAAACTTGGATCAATTAAAGTGTCTAATACCCAACATATTTTGGGAGAGGTCGAGTCAGGGTACCTCAACCTTGCAAAGATTAAAGCAAGATATTCAGAACTGGAATAGGTTGAATACTTTCATTGGCTAGATATCATTGCTTTGATTGATCCAAGAAGTCAAACTACTCCTCTTCATATTTACCTGGTAGAAGAGTCTGGAGTCCTAATCCAACTTCACTTGCCACTGAGAGCCTTAGTTGATCAGCAAGAAGTAAAGCATTAATACGATAGAGTATGGTTGGCAAACATACTGCTTTTCGCCACAAGGAGGCTGGGAAGGGATGAATGGTGCACAATTCAGGTACTAAGATCTGCTTCTGTTGAAGGTTCTCTCGTTTGGCACGCTTAGTTTCTTCTGAGGTGGTAGGCAGTGCCACTCCTTTCCTATTAAGAGTAATGAAATAAAAATATTGATATTGTACTCATTAAGATCTATAAGTATAACCTACTATAACAATCTTAGTAATATGATTAAAATAAAAATTGCCAATATTAAGTGAGATCATACCTGTTAACATGACGTGGCGTGAGCAAATTCAGTCTTCCAGATGTGTGGTCAACATCAAGCAAAGGCTGAGCAAGGTTACATATTTGAAGGCCATATTTAGTTAGGTAGTATTTTTCAAAGGTCTCGAACCCTGCATCCGGAAAATCACTTTGTGGATTGAGATGAGTGCATATTTCAGCTACGTAAAAATACTGAAAGCAAAATAAAGCTCATTTATATTAAGAATTTTCAAAACCCCATATCACATCCTAAAAAAATACAAATACCATTTCAAAAACAACAATAAACTTTTTAACCATTCTAAAAATGCATATGGAAAATATTTTACATAATTTATATCAATGATTTCCACACACAGGGAAAAGGGGTATCATAACACACCTGAGGCTGATCTTGATTTCTGTACCAAGGCATAACCACTGCATCCTCATACAGGTCATGCTGGAACTGAAACTTTTTCCTTGCATCATCCTGTGGAGGGACTGGTCTGGGATCTCCTTCTGATTGGATCTCCTTTACAAACTCCCAATCAATGCCTTCGCTTCCATTAACTGCATAGACAAGAGAAACATTAAAATTTCAAGAAGTCCATAAAATAAGAAAAACATACTCTGCACATTTGACAAAAAAAATATACTGTTCCTTTAATCTAATTCATACTTCTATACACCTTTCTTTAAATTCTCTACAAAAGAAAAAATAAATATAAGCCAAAAAAGAAATGGAAACTAGAACTTACACTTGTTGAGA